ACCTAGGGTATCCTATATTAACTTATTGAAGGTACATAAAGGGGGGGTATTCTGTAAGGTATCCCACAAGCTATTCTCCTAGGTTCCTAGTTTCCTTTATTCCAAACCCCTTACCCAAAAAGCTGCAAGTTAATTGGTGAATTCTCAGAACTTGCGCTCCTCTCGATTTTTCATACATAGACCCTTACATATATGATATGTCTATAGGGTATTCTATAGGGTAAATGAAATGCATACAGGGAATGTGTAAAAACGCTGGGGCCGAGGTATGCTGCGAAACCAAATCCTTCCATATATGGTATGCTATGGGGTATTCTATAGAAGATTGAATACGGTATTCTGTAGAGTACTCCATGGGGTAAATGAAAGGCATGCAGGAAATATCATATATAGGTGATAGAGCATACCCTATAGAATGCCATGAACATGGCTTCAGACACCATTTCAACACAAAAAGCGTGGGTACATGTGGGGGGGGTAGCATATATATACATATATATATATATACATATTGTTTTTTGCAACCCGCCCACCCCGTCCCCTCCCCCTAGCCGCAGCCCGCCCTTCAAAGAATCCTACAACATGCGGCCGAATCCTGCATTTTCTACCATTAAACCTATACATATACCTATACCAACGATAAAAGCATTAGAATGCTAACGACCTTTCTTGTTTGTATTTCTTAGATCGCTGAACTAAAGAAGACACAGGAGAAATTTACATCTTTCCCGTCAATAACAGCGTGATATTATATGTGTGTAGCAACCATAAGTACCACAAAGCTGAGGCCACAAGAGCGCGCCTTTCTGAAAACTAACCCTCACAACCCCAAGAATCCGGCTTCCCGACGGCGCTTCCGCATGGAGCCTACTCAGAATCCGGCTAACTTAATCCGATCTCCCGACCGCCCTCCCGCACGGAGCGTCCCCAGAATCCAATGAAACCAGTCATTTAAATCTTAATGACCGCTGGAAGCTTAGATTCGGCGATGGTCTGCCTGATCCGAAATTCTGAGACGTTACATGTTTCGGCCTGATCTTGTTCTGTGCTGGGATATTGATCCATTACGTGGCTCAGCCTGATTGAGCTGATCCGTTACCCGACACCGTTACAAACCACCTCTGATCTGATACCTGCAGCTTCCGGCGCCCATCATGGGTCATCGAGCCGGTTTTCCCTTACCAAATGCCAACATGTCAAAATCACCGGCTGGCACAGGACGAGGGGACGGTGTGAAAAAAAGGCGAAATTCCAAATTACAGATGGGAAGCTAGGGATGTTCGACGTTTAGCTTCCTGGGGTTAGGTATGGTGGATCCTGATTGGTGTGTCCGCAACCCCAGAAAAAGGACGGCCTCTATAATCGAGAGTTCTTCAAACGAATTGTGGGGTCTGGGGGGTCCTATCGCTCCTATTCAAACCAATATGGCAAGGGAAGGTAGATCCTTCGGCTACCATTGGATGCTTAAAGACTCGCTCAGTTCGAAGACAATAGGAAAGGGCAGGCTCCCCCCCAATAACCAGGATTCAACATTACTGTACTGTACTGTATGTGCATGTGCCGATTTTGTTGCCCATACAAATAAGAAATTCTGCGGCTGTGGATGTGGTCATAGGTAGATAGTATTATCTTTGATGGCATGGGTCCAGAAGGTTCCAAGGTGCTGTCAAAATCCCGTGCAAACTATTGTTGGGCGTGGCCGGGGTGGACGTCATCATCCTAGAGACATGGGTGGGTCCAGTATTTACAACATGAATCAAGACAATTTGCGCTAATTTTCCGGGTGCTTTCCCTGCGACATGTGTAAAGCACGGATTGGCACTCGGCCTTCGATCCCTGCTGCCGCTCTGGCTTCGGCTCCTCGGGCTGGCACTCTGAAAAATTGGCGATTGGCCATGAGACGAAAATGCTGGGAGCCTGTTTCGAGCCTTGTCTCTGCCCTTGGAGCTGGCGCTGCTTTTGCCTTGCACGAGTCTGTATCGTACTTGCATGCAACTCAAAGAGCAGTACATCAGCATAATACTTGGCCGAAGCGCCTCCCGGACTTTTTGACGTCCTTTCCTTCCTTTTCTGAAGCTCTCTCTCTGGGCTTCCTGCTCGACTTCGACCTCAGTACAGTCTGTGTACAGGCTACACGCGCTCCGAGGTGCACACAGCAAGGAAACCTCTGGTGGTTGCACATGTTGGAACTCAGGAGGTTGCTTCGAGACGCTGATGCCTTGGTTCAGAATCGAGATCAAGCCCCGAATTGAAGGCGACGAAACCGAGAGAACGACCTTCAACTTCGTTTGTGCCTTCTTGGCCTTTTCATCTTCGCTACTGGATGGGCTTTCTTGCCTTTCAGTTCGCGGAGGTTGTATTCTCAAGAAAGTATAGCATGAATCAGTTGCACATGTTGCGCTGGAAACCTCACAATCAAACATCGTGAGGCAAGCCCGCAATCATAGTACTAGTAGATATGAAGTATCGGAACCGGTCAGATACAAGCAAGAACAAGGGCTGCGATTCCTCTGCTTCTTTTTCTCATCCCCAACCTTCTTCTCCAATTTCTTCTCGAGCTCCTGTCCAATTGGCGCGAGCTGCCGCTTTCTCTGCGCTCTGTTGTTCACAAACTCTTCACTCCTCCACCTCCTCCTTGAGATCTCGATTTTCCTTCTTTTTCTTTTCGAGCTTTGTTTCTAAAGCATCCTGTTCAGTCAGTGACAGTGGTGTATTCTACAGGCTTGCTGTGAGAGGGCCTTCTCATCTTGCAGCTCCTGTATGGCATCTCTTTTCGCCTCGGAGAGGTGCGTTTCACGTGGCGTCTCAGAATGTATTCTAAGCAAGATGCCTGGAGCTTCTCTTCAAGCTTCTCTAGACGACCTTCAGCCTTAGTGTTCGTGAGACCCTGACTCTCCAAGTTGTGCCCTGATGCCATAGCTTCCTTAGCTTCCGGCCTTTTCCTGCCTTGGACGTGGCAATTCAATTGTGCTTAAGACAACATGCCTATGCATGCATGCTCTCGGGATTCTTCCCAAAAAACAACTTTCCACCGCATCGATCTGTGTGCCTTCGGGCCAGGAGCTCTTCTCATCAGCTCTCACTCACATCTGGACACGCGCCAGCGCCCGGGGCAAGATAGGAAGATCTGTGACCCTAGATGCACCACCTGCGTATACCTGTGTACGGCACGGAGCCTACTTGCACGTGCAGGAGGGCTCGTAGCCGCAGAGAAGCAGTGTCGTGGGGGTTCGGAAGAATGGCCACTTCAAGTCTGAGTATCGGCAATCTATTATGGTAGGTGGGTCCGAAAACATTAGTTTTAAAGTCGAGGTCCCCGGAAACCAGGTCCCTTCTGACTCTCAAATTAAGGAACCGAGGGCTTTTGCACACCAAGCCTGTCGAAGCAGTACGGGGGGGACCATATGTGTTTGGAGGGCCTATCATCACGAAACAGAATTGAACATTAACGATTTCTACGGCAATGTAGGGCTATGTGGAGCGTCTGCAAGAGTTGCAGAAGCTGATTGCAGTGTCAAGCCGTCCCAAAGGACCAATGCCCTGCAAATGTTGTTGGGGGCTGTCATTATCAGAGAAGGTCTGAGTACGTCAGTGTCAAGGCTTCAGCAGCAGCATTCGCAGCAAACACAGGACCGGCAAAAAATCCTCTAGGAGCCACTTGGCTTAACAACCAAACAATCTCCATTGTTTGGCGGTATCTGGACACTACTGCATGATATGCACATGAGGAAGGAGGAATCAACTGCGTCTGAAAGATTAAGTTTTGCCATAGCTGCGCATCGCGCGCAGAAGCAACGTCAGCAACGGCTTTCCTCTGCGCCTCTCTTGCCTGCAGGTGGACGATGCTTACGCAGCTATGCGCAGCTGGCAGGTTCGCAGATTCTGCACCCGTGCAAACCGGAGAGTCAAAAAGCAAAGCCTCTGCCAGCTCGCGTTTGAGTTCGACGTTCTTCTGCTGCTCTGCCTTGCTTCTTGCTTACTAGGCTTCCTTTGCGCAGGGTAAGCAAATCTCTACTCGTGGTGTAACTTGCACCTGGACAGCATTCTGCATGGCATCCTCTGCTCTGGCCAGCAGAGATCGCGCTTCTGCAAAGGCAGTAAGGGCTTCCTCATAGCTGGGCATGTCTCAGGCCTCACACAATGCAGCATCCCTAGTCTTGACAGACCTGCACAAATTCCCTGTCCTACCAGCCCAGCATACGTATCAACCAGTGACGCTGACAGCAGTTTGAGCTCCATTTAAAACGCATGCCGCATGCAAGCTGACTGAGCTGCGTCTGCCCCTTTGCACTCTTGCGACTCTGTGACGTGCCTCAAATCATGCAGCTGGCATTGAAGGGCAAAATGCTGACAGAGTAGCCGGACATGTCCAGCTTGGCTGCGAGCCAAGATAGAAGGTGAATCGATTGCTGCGTGTTCATCGCAGATCATACCAGCAAGTGTCGCGTTGGCACCGGCATAGTTGCATGCATTGCCATTAGAAGCTTGTGCAGGTTTCCTTTTCCACTTTGCAAGCTTCTGATGCGCCGAGTGAGGCGTGACATAAGACCAAAGCGTTCCATGCTCTTGCTCGCAGGCTTGGATGGTTTGGTTCAAGGCGCATCGTGCACTGGCTGCGTGTGGATTCCTCCGTTTTGGTTCCATGTTGGCTCTGAATGTTTATTTTAGGCACTGTGAAACAGTTGTACAGCCTGGCCTCAGAACCGGCCCTTGATGTACTTTCTGGCTCGGGCCTCGGGCCACTTGACTCACACATCGCGGAGCTATCCCGAGCTACGAGACGAGGCCATTGCTCTACCCGCTTTGCCGGCGTCAAATCCTCTGGTGGACCGACCGTTGATCTTGTACCAGCCCGGAAAGCCCCGGTACTTTACACCGGTCCATCTTGCCTGCGGGTGGACAGGGGGCTAACTATAAATGCGACAGGTCCGACTTGCTGGTCCAGGCCTCATGTGGCATTAGTGGCTCCCTTGCTGTAACTTGAACACCAGCTGGAGCATGCGCTTCAACCTCAGCCAATGGTCAAGTCGTTCTGTCTACCTCTCAATTAATCACGCTGTGACTGACTTTCGTTCTCATAGTGCCAGGATGGGCTTCAGACCACGCAGTCCCCACAGCCCGTGATTGAGACCCAGCCCAACCCAGGAAAGACCACATCAGCACCTGAGCAGAAAAGCTTCTCCCAAATCAAGTGACAAGGTCCCAGCCCGAAGCTTGAGGCTTTTGAGGTGCTCGCATGCTTCATCCCATCCTGTGCCCGTAAACCTCGACTCATGACACGGCAGTGGCACGGTCCACATGTTTACGCTGTACGAGCCGCTGGTTTCGCATCCTAGGAGTGGACGAGAACTGGTGGGATTCCCACGGCAGTAAGCTGTCATACCGGCGAGGGTCAACAGGAGGTATCAACCTGATGCTCTCATGTTCATCGGAGGGGGTGCTTCAATGACCAAATGGGGCCGCAGCCGCTCGCCTGCCCACTCCTTGCATATCCGAGCTGCCTCCAAACTTGGTGAGTGCATTGCTTCTACTTCTGGGCAGCTGCCGGCCTTTTCAATGCGTGTCCGGTGTATCTTCACTCGCTCTGAGATGAACACTGTGAGCTGAAACGGCCTCGCAGTGAAGCAGCAGCCCTCGCCCTGTCCACTTCCTTTGCCACCTTGCCCTTCCAGCGCCTCCCCTTGACGAAGTCAATTCGAGCTAGAGCCCCCAGCAGTAGAGTTCGACCTTCATCCTAAATGATGCGCTGGTGTGCTCAGGCAACCACACCACAACAAAAATTGCACGCTGCATAGATTGGGCTTGCGAGCAGAGTAAGATAGCGGCCATGTGGAACGTCAGCCGCACTTAGAAGGAAATGCGAGGCGCTCCAAAACAAAGAATGCTTAAGCAAAGCATATCTTGAAGGAAGATATGGCCCCGGGCATGCTTCCTTTTTTTGCGGAGTGATCACCTTGAGATCCTGCGCTGCAGGAGTGAAGGCGTTGAAGGCTTTGAAAAGCCCAAGTACCTAGGTTTTCCAATCGTTGCAAGTGGCAGGTTCTGCCTTTAAGATTCGCGACCCAGGTTCAGTTTCACTGGGCAAAAGTTTTAGAAGGCCGCCCCTCCAGCCTGCAAACGGACATCGCATATCTATCATATCTGATGGCTTACGATGTGGTGCCGCATTGCCCCACAAATTATTTGCTGGTGGGCTCTGATGATCTGATAGATTTAAATCTGTGACTGTTGCGCGGTCCCTGCAGAGCGGCCACTGATACTGCAGTGCTGGTACATGGTTTCCATGCACAAGCACAAGTAAACGCATGCTTTTGACATATGTAGTGTAGCGACACCATCCTCTTATGAATCTTTAGAAAGCAACAACTGCCAAGCCTGTTGTTCTTCTTGCTAGTTCCTTAGTGCTACGTTTTGCAGCAGGCAGGTCCTCCAAAGTCAATCGCTCAGCCATGCTCCCGGGAACCAGCAAGCCAGGCATGTCGACTAGCTTCCTCATGCTCACACAACCACACCAATAGCTGGACTTCCATAAAGACCTACCCAGCAAGCTTGCCAAGTTTGATGCACTTCAACACTTGGACAGACTCACTGGCCGCTTGGAGCCAGAATATGAATGCTTCGGATCTCTAGGCCAGCAGCGTGTTTCCCAGTTGGAACTTCATGGTGATTGGACGGAGCGTGGTGCCAGGCAGCACGCTGACGACAAAGCCTCTCTGATCCTGACAGCTGACAGCTGTGTCCGAATGTGTTCACACTTGGCACTGCTTGGGAAACATGCGCGAAAGCTACCAGCATGGCAGCTGGCAGTCATAAGCGGAAAATGCATCGAGGCTTCGAAAAGCCAGCGAGTTCCTTGTGCCCGCTTTTCTTGCTTTTCCATGTGAAGTCTACATTTCAGTTCAGTGTAGGCATTCCTACATACGAGTAGCTTGCCACAAGAAATGCGTGCGTGGTTGGAAATACTCCAAATCCTGATGCGGACCACGTACACGAATGCGGTCAGCATGAACGCAGACACGCCATCTGCAATTTCCCCGTCAATGCTCCTAGACACGCCTCATGTGGAGTTTCCCCTTAGCCTTCCACTTGAATTCGCGTCAGCTCCCCGAACCCGACACCTCTTAGATCCATCTCCTGCGACAAGTTTGCACCGCAACTTCTGTTTCGTGCTGGCTGTAGATCTGTTGAAGCGGCTTGTGAATCTCGCCATCTCCAAGCAGAAATCCATCATAACCCTCGCTCCATGCATCCTGTCAGTCGGCCCGCGCCACAGCACCCAGCATTCCAGACCTCTTGGCACCAAGCCGTTTCTGGGACACCGAAAAGGACGCCCGGCTCTGGACTTGACTGCTGACCATGACTGCGAATCTGATCTAGCTCGCCAGATCCTCTGGTGATATGAATGGCCTTTGTGCATTTTCTGGCCAACCATCTGCCGCATGCTCTACTACAGGCCCCTGAGCACTGGCAGCTTTGAATGCGGCAGCCTCGCAACTTTCACATAGCGGACGTCATCCGAACGTGACCAGCAAGATTGACGGCTTGGTTCTGAGGCAGCTTACCATGTACAGCTCCCTAGCGTTGGTAATTATGGAGAGACAACATCATGACAGAAAGTCATCAGTTTGATGATGGTGGAATTGACTAATAAAGGCAATGAAGGCGTATAGGTCAAAATCGTATCGCTCGTCAGTCACTAGTTCCACCAGCATTTCTTGCGAAGCGTAAGCATGTTAATGGCGGCAACAGCATCACAACTTGACAGCAGCCAGGGCAAAACTATACACTAATTGTTAAAGCTTTGTGCTCAACGCCAGATTTGAAACCAATATTTCACGTTGCTTCGACAATGGGTGCGGCAAAGCAAGGTCCTGTGACACCCGCATAATAGCCCAGTACCTGAGAATGCCAGCCATGTAGAGAAATAGGCTTCAAGACTCCATCAGTCTTGAGCACAGTGTGAAACCAGGAGAAATTGCACGATAGGTTTGAATGACAAAAAATGACAGTGGTTGGCAAGGCTGGACTGGCTTCCCAACAGAAAACCGCGCTGCTGTGCCCATGATAGCTTCACCTTGTCCAAACACGTTCAACGGTCCTGATTGCAAATCAGAGCATTCCGAACCGCCTCATGGCTTTCTTGCTTCCTTTGCTTCTTTTGCAGCGAAATTCCAGAAAAGCTAGAAACTGCAAACTAAAAAAATCAGGTCATGTCCAACTTTTCGTACGAAGTTGTATGACTTGCTTTTGCTACTGGGCCTCATCTCTTGCTGTCGAAGAGAAGATGCCATTGCTTGTATCCCTGAATAGAATGTCCTTCAAACACAAGCAAGCCTAGCCGCGAAAACGATACCATATCAAGTTATTCTCTGGCCCCAGCAAATCTCGACTCAGCAGGGCTGTGAACAAGAAGTGGCTGGCATGTGCTTGCATGACTTAGCGAAAACCATAAAGAATTCAGCCTGTGCCTCTACAAAGCCGGGTCGTACTAGACTGGTGGTTCTGATCAGCCTGCGCCGAATGCGCCGCGGCCTAGAGCTCAAAACCCCAAGCGCGGCCCCTCATGGCATTGACGTACACTTTGAAGCATAGCCCTACTTGGGTGGCACCCTGATGATCTGATGCAAGCTCCTGCACGTTTGCCAGTGAATACGGGCTGACACCAGCACATGTAGATGCTCTGAAGATGCTGCCTGGGGCCTCATTTAGAGGGGCGTACTGGCACAAAGCATCACCCGGCGCAAGGTCTAGACATACGATCTAATGTGCACACCGATCCCGGCATTATAAACTTGCTAGAACGGTTCCCGCCAGTTTCCTCGGCGGCCACACGGCCCACGCCACGGCGCTTCCGAAGAGCCAAGCGGTTGAGCAGTGAAGACTTGCCAGCCTGGCGGCAGGTCGCGAAATGCTAGGACTTGTCAGGTGTCAGCAGGAAACATGCAGCATCCACGTTGGCAGCGCCCACGACGTAGTGCTCACCAGGTGCGTTGTTTTGCTCCAGTATTTCAGACCTTTGCTGCATGAAATTGTGGGTCTGACCTCATAGGTAATGCCATCGGATCGGAGGATCAGGCACAGCCTTCACACCCTCCCCAGTGTGGCCTCAGCACACTCCGGTGATCTGCAGCAGCCTAGAGTTCGGACGTTGTAAGATAAGGGCAGGAAATCGGATAGACATCCATAATCTTTATCTTGCTGTGACCTGCGCGATGCGCCTCTCTTGCGACCTGGGCAGGTGCAATGAGCATTGATGCCTAATCGTGCAAATGCATGTTTCTTGTAGTAGGTTGTAATCCTCTCTGAATCAGTCGCAGACCCATCCGCGCAATCGCGGCCGGCTTGTGTCCGGCGGAAGCAAATCCTAAGTCGAAGTAGCCAGGTTTGCAGCACTCGAGCACAATGCTAGGAGAGAAGGTCAATGCGACCAAGAAGAATGATGACATATGCACCATGACCACGCGAGGGTAGTGGACACCACAGGGGACAAGGAAGGTTTGACGCAACCGTGACCGAGCAAGGCCAGTGAACACTACCCAGAGATAGAGATGCAATCATGAAGCATGACTGCGGAAGGGTAGCGGACACAGGAGGAAGAGGTTTGATGCAAACCACCTAGCCGGATGTTATCTGCACCAATCCACAACATGACCTTGCAAAGGTAGTGAACACTACGGAGGAAATAAGGAGGTCACCAGCATGTTGTTATACAGCTCCTTGCCAAAATCTGCGCTTTCGTTTAATACATGTAACAAGGTAGGCCAGGGGAGGCATTTTTTTTACAAAATACCGTAGCAATGTAAGGAGCATTCCAATAGTTCTTGAATGGCCTAAATTCTACTTGCTACCTAAGTACAGTTGATTCACAACTTCCATAATTTCCTGAAATGACGGAAACGTTATAACAAGTGCTGGTGTGCATGAGCAAGTCTTCAAGGCACATCCCTCCTGCAGCCATTTGGAAATCAAGAAGGGTGTAGGCCTGTAGTAGCCATGACCTCTCATGCCTCCACTTAGAAAGCGTAGGTAACAATAGTACCTTGAATCTGTACGGTGTAGCTCTAATTTCAAAAAAGGCAAACCATGTTCCTTAAGATGATCCTACCTGTTTGTGTGCGCTTTTGTAGTAAAAAAGAACGCCCTGCGTCTGTGTGCCTTGCCATGCCGTCAAGCAGATGATGAGCCCAAGCCTGCCACTGCTCTTCTTCGTTGACGTTGAAGTGCGTGCCCAGGATGAGGCAAGGTGAAAGTGAGATGGCTTGAGGCCAGCGTATGGGCGACCAACGATATGAAGGTCATATTCTTTCTAGAAGCTGTGGAAGAGATTCTGGACGCGAGGTTGTCAATGGCTCAGTTTATGGGCCACCAGTGGAGGCTGGAGTATGGTCCAGTACAAACAGGTCAAGGTCTAACGGGAGTAAAAAGGGTGTTGAGGTTGATATTATCTAGATATCAGGCAAAAACGCCAGACACCGGTCCTTGAATCCCACCTTAGCCGCTCACAAAGACTCCCCTACAACCTGCCATCATGACGAGCCACCCAGCACGTTACGAAGAAGCTTATGCGGCATGTTGGTAGTGGTGTCCCCAAGGTTAAAAGGTCGTCGAGGAGGGGATCCTTGATAAAGTAGGTGAATCCAACTCAAGCGCTCGTCGTTGGGAAAAAGTTTTCCGGGAAGGAAGCTCAGCCCAAGGTAAAGGATTCTGTTGTAGGCACGTCTCAAGCCCAGGAATTTATCAGTCGAGGTCAGGATCCAGGCCTTTCAAGTGCTACTTAACTGCAGCCATACCGGCTGCTCAAGGTCGAGTCCTCAGACCACAGCATCGGGTTCAGCTACCTCAACTGGATCACGTGATATCCCTTGCAGAGCAGACACTTCTTCCATTGATCACGAAAAATATGGAGGAGATCAACTTCCGTGCTCCGGATATTCTAGAGAGAGAGTACAAGAAAAGGGGATTGATACAGATCTGTTGATTCGGCAGGGAGCAGGGTACTACATTCACAACCTTGGTGCCTTTCATGGGCTAGGATTTGGTGCCCCATGCCATGATGGCATGGGTATGGCAACTGGCTGCACCTGGCCTAAGTGTTTCGTTTTATGGAAAGACTGCAGGTCCAGGCGGTTCCTTCGTTGAAGGGGTGTGACTACTGACCCCAAAGAGACCGATTCCTAGGATGTAAAAAATGCCAGCCCTGTTCCAACATGTTGTTTGCAACCACAAAACAAGACCGACATGCCGAAAGGCCAGGGGAAAACTCGGCAGCAGCCGAGGTCCTCAATCTCTTCACACGACGAAGGAGATACTTCTCTAAAGTCGTCCGCATCTCGTCCAGGAGAGCCTTCACAACAAGCCGCCCACTCTTGCAAGATTACAGAATATCAGAGCGAGACAGGCTGCAGATGGACCGCGTACCTGATTCTCAGGCTCCTTTGCGCGCGGCTGGAGGGCTCGAATGTCAACGACCCCTGGTCGGCCGGCCGGCGTGTCGATGCCTGCAACGGCCGCTGAAAGAGAGCATTCCAACTTTCTGAACAGATTCCTTGTCTAACATGCTCCGCCTGAATGGCCAGTGGTTGGATCAATCCTCCACTGCCTTCCCTGCCCTTCGGCGTCCAACATGGAATCTCCGTGCTCGCAAACACCACCTTGGTCACAGAACTCTGAAGTTGTGACATCACGAACAATCAAGAATCACACCACACGAGCCCCTGAAGCCGGGAAACTCGAAGAGAAAGCGAACTTGATCACCGACCGGAGCATCACAGGTCCCAGCCGCGAAAGCTTGACAGTGCTCTGCTTGAATCCCACCACCTTCCCGAACAACTCGTCGTCCTTCCTTACATGCTCCAATGGAAAGACAGACAGAAGCGCAGCGCCGTGCTGCGCAACAGACTTGCACGGACGCAATCCGTCTCACCCACGCGAAATGTGACATTCACCTGCTCTGTTTTACGTCCGTGAGCGCGGTTGCGCGAGATTACGACTGCCGAATAACGTGGACTGGCTGACCGGATGAGTCCACGTCATTCGCCAGTCTTGAGACCACCCAGTGCAGCCCATGGACGCAAAACAGGCCGATGACGTCGATCACATGAGTGAGACGGACTCCGTCTCTTCGAGTCTGTTCTGCACGGCAACAGAGGGAGTCCACATCTCTGGATGTAATGGCAACCCTCGGTAACCCTCGCGCCTCTTCTGGCCCGCGTACTTCTCCCACACGCAGAGAAACCTCGCCGAGGTACGCACATGAGCGTCACCAATTGCCCACGCGAGATCCACCCGACATGCAACCCGAACTGGCACCGAACGCTTGCACACATGCGCCTTGCACGCGGTCGGGCAGCAAACCGCAAGCCGCGCCTCGCCAACAAGAAATGCGATGGGTCGACTGTGCTTCAAGACCCGCCACAATCACAGACACTTTGACCAGGTGACGACTGCTAACATGGCATGCGGACTTTCACACATGAGGGCCGCCTCCAAGCGTTCATACGTCCGCGTGTCACTATCCGCTCGAGTGGAACGCACTTTCCATCACGGATCGTGCGTGTGAGCCGGCCACCGACTGCTTCTCGACATCGTCAAGTGAAATGGACAGTTGCCAAGCGACGCCAAAGTCCGCGTCAAAATGGCGGCCCAAACAGATTCTCTAGTTCAAGAGGAGGTTGGAACGGCAAGTCCAACCAACCGAGCTGTTGATGACAGTGATTCTGGCAAGGCCCAAACCGGTGTAGTGGAATCTGCAGAAACGCCGGATGTGGTCAATCAGTCTCCTGTGAGTGGTAACCAGCAAGAACAACAGCCACCAGGGGATAAAGAAGGCAGTCTTACCGTGGACATAAAATACGGCAATGTATAACTTTGGTCGGGAGTTGAAGGGTCAATATGATTCTATCCCAAAAACGGTTATCATACGACAACCTTCAGTGGCAACAAGGTAAGAAGTCCCAGATCTTTGCCATGGTGGATGTTGGGGGATCCGTATTGGGACGAAAATGGTCAGGAAATAGCCTTTGGAGGAGGTGATCCACCCGTTCAAGTCGACCAAACAGCACAAGGTTCCAATGCCGCATCAAATGCCCCAAGGCTTCAACTTGGAGATCAAGTAGATGGGAAGATAGTTTCTATCTGCTCGAACTTTGCCTGGGTGGGCGAGTGGTTTCCACCTGCACTTATCTTGAAGACTATGGCGGTCAATGACGACCTCTACGTTGCAGATGTAGTGGAAATCAAGGAAGACCATGTCGTGCTGGAGGCCCGTACCTAGGCCCGGATATTACAGGTCTCCCAAAATCCCAACTAGATTCTGAAGTACCAAAAGCCCCGAATTCTGCAGAACCTCAGACCGACCCAAGTCCTGAGCAGAACCAAGCAGAAGGTTCAAATGAGTCGGTGTTTAAAGAGCAGGACGATGATTCAGAACAGTCCTCCGAATGGGATCCAGTATCCACGTTCCCTTTGCACGTAGGGGACAAAGTTACTGCTAAGGCCATGGGGTATGATGCTGAGAAGAACGAAGTCTGCGTAGCTGTTCAAGAATCGTCCGTGTTTGGGGTTGTTGTCGCTCTCCGAAATCAAATACAAAAAGATGATGAGGTACATGAGCTCACAGGTATAGGTTTTAGGGGTGATTATCCACTTCTTGAGGGACCTGACGGGATGGAGCTCTCGTATGATCCGGTAGACTCACATCCAACAGAAAACTCTCAAGACCTAAATCAGGACAGGTGTCCAGGCACTTCTAATGATCAACGACCTAGTTATGGACGTTTCCCGCCAACCCACGGTGAGAAATCCAGTCAAAGGCCCTACCGTGAGCGGTTTGACACACGTCACCCGTGTCGACACTATGCGCGTGGCTGGTGCAATTACGGCCGTAGATGCAATTTTAGGCATGACAGGGTGCCAGGTCAACCAGGCCCTCCGCGGGCATTCCTAGGGTAGCACCATGAGAAAACACCAGGCACGATCCCAATGCTCAGCCTGTAGGCCAACCTGCTCCTTCGCCTATTGAGCTATTGAGCTGCAGTTGGAGCCTCCATCCAGTGGGCAGCCTGAGGCCGCGTCTTCGCAGTCTGCACCGACTCAGTCCACAGGGCAGCCGGATTTCCCCCCCACATTCTGTCAATGTGGGATCGTGTAAGCGGCCGAGGTCGCCTCCGCCCTTTCCAATCTTCACCCACAGTAGGTTGTCTAGCTCCTCGCGCGAGCAGCGTACTGCACGCGTTTGAGAGCTTCTGCCTCCAGCTTTGGAGATGTTGGGGTTTCTACAGCCTGAGACTATCATAAACGGTCTCTTGGAATTATCTTTTGGCGAGATCTTTGCAGCGGTAGAGACTAGGATAGCATTGTTTGACT